AGATATGCCTACCTTTTAGCAAGTTTTCACCATACAAATAATTTACAAAAGTACAATCAAAAGTCTTTGAAAATGGCTAATAGTTTAGTGCTCGAAACAAACAATCATACGGACAGCTTCTACACACACAAGTCTAAGAAATAAATTTCTTAATCGCAAACAAGAAAGACAGGAGAGGTAAAAATCTTAAACAGAATTGCCTTTTCAGTCATGTGTATTAAAGAGGGATTACTGTTCAAATATAGAACCATATATATATGTGTGTATGTGTGTGTGTGTGTGTGTGTATAGAAATACGTACACATATATGTATGCAAAAATATGTTTGTGTGTGTGCAGGTGTTTGCACGTATAAATAGTTTTGGATTGATTGATTTCCAAGCTACGAGACCGTACGTATTGATATGTTCATTGACCAGTGTAAATAACTCATTCGAAACCATAGTAATATAAGTTAATATACAGACACGCGGTAACACACACACACACAGGCATTTGCACGCGCATACACACACACATATATTACAGGTGTGTTTTTGCTCATCATCTATAGTGATCGTTTATTCGGTGTAATAAACAAGTAATTACATGTCTTAGGTAAACAAATTCGTTCTACATCGAAATGGACACATCAACTGAATGAAGCTCTTACACAGATTTCTTTGTATGTAATTCTTGCTGTTATATCTTGTGATATGCGTGAGTCAATGTGTTTGTATTGGATAAAATCGGTACGCCGGGATTGAACACGGCTTCAGCTTTGATACTTGGCTTTTGGGGGAGAATGAACTTTGGTCAAGATAGATAGATAGATAGATAGATAGATAGATAGATAGATAGATAGATAGACTTATGTTTTAAAATATCCGATTTTTTAATATTTTATTCACTTGTACAAGGTTATAATTTCCTCATCGTCTGTTTTTTATTTCATTGGTAAATTCTTTATTCTGTTATCCCCCATACAGACTGTCACTAGATGCTTTCATCGAACATGATTTCGAGCTTTTCACCTAAGGAAAACTCTCTTGCTTAAGGCTAAACACCTAAAATTCAGATTAGCTTATGCTAGAAGTCATAAAAACCATGGGAGTAATTATTGGAACTCTTGTTTTATGGTTAGATGAAACCAAACTAGAATTATTTAGTCGCATGAACTCGCGTTATGTATGGAGGAAAGGGAATAAAGCTCACAAAGTAAAAATTACCCTTCCTATAATTAAGTACTGTGGTGGTGAACATTCCGCTCTGGGGGTGTTTTATTCTTAATAATAATATAAAACAAAGTGTATGAAATCTGTCTCTGGGGCGTCACTGGATGTTTCAATATGACAATGACCCGAAACACACGACACGAATTGTTACAAAATACTTAGATAACAGAAAAATTAAGGTATTGGAGTACCACGCACAAAGTCTTTACCTAAAACCCATTGAAAATGTATGGGCATATTTGAAGAAAAAAAAGCTCACATACCCATTAATAGTCATGGCCACCCGTTGTTACATCAAAGTTATCGTTTTGACCCTTATTGGTGCATATATTTTTCTTAGTGTATAATAGAGATGTCCTATAATGTTTTATTATTTCTATTGTTTCATTGTTGCGGATTTTTTAGCTAAGTTTAATGTATTGTTTAATGTGTTCTCGTTAATAGATGAGTAAAAGCCTTTTATATTAAATTGTGTGAAAGAACAGTTTTGTTTTGTTTTTAATATTATAAAACTAATTAATTGTTGCTTTGGTGTTTTTCCATTGGTTTATGTTTAATATGTTCCTTATATTTGAGCATATTTTTCTAGTATATGTTTACTTTTCCATGGTTGCTTTTTGTGGGATTTAATAATCTGCATGTGGTTTTGGTTGTGAAGTTATTCTCATGATCTTTTAATTTTATAAATGGTTATACTTTTGCTAGTTGGTTTATTCTATTATCAAATTTTAGTTTAGTAGCTGTGTTTTTTAGTTTTTTGTTTATCTCACTTTCTGTTTTGTTATTTGTTGTTTTTAAAATTTAATAACTTCTTTATTAATTAGTTTATTGCAATTGTTGGCTTCCATTTTATAGTGGAAGAACACTGAATGTTTTTTGTTACATTCCGGATGCTGATTGCTTTCTGAAATTCATAGAGCAAAGAAATTTGGTGAAAGGGCAACTTTTTGTCCTCCATCTTTATGCATTCATTTGTGAACAACTAGTTTATTGTAATTGTAATGGCTTTCATTTTATAGATTTTTCTTGACTTGTCTGCTTTTACAGATAGTTTTTTGAGTTGTTTATCATTTTAGATCTTTTCAAGTCTTTTTTGAAAAAATACTTCTAAGATATTGATTATGTTTATTAAGTCATTTTTCAAATGCAATAGAGTCGTTTTGTTGGGGTGGGCATTTCGTTAATATGAATCTGAAGTGGTTTATATTATTATTATCATTGCTATTGGAGAGAACTAGAATACCTTCCATCTTGGGCGTTTCTCTGTGAATGAGATTTGTAGCCATATTTCTTAAGGAGGAATTAAAATTTGTTATTTCCATGTTAACGTTCATTAATATGTTTATTTTATTTTGTTTTAATTTTATTTACATTATTTGAACTGTTATCCTCATCTTCATCGCCATATTCACAACGTCTCGGTCATTGTACATTGTGATTGGAATTTCGAACCGAACCTTTTATTTCGTTATCTAGTTCCACGTGCCATGCCTCTTCCGGATGTCTTAACTATTTCCCTTTAACTCAACCCTCCAAGTTTTGGTTCACCACTGTTGGAGCCTGGTAGTTAACTCACAACTCTTTGAATCTAGTCACTGGATATAACCAACGTCCACTGGGCTATGTATCCTTGAGTCAGTTATGCCACATAAATAATGTTAATAATCGTAATACCTCATCTCAGAGATATAGACAGATATTGTTTTAATCTTGTATTTATTTATTTATTTATTTAATTTCTATTGTTTGTTTTTAATGTGATTATTATTTTAATCTTTTAATTATTATTGTTATTGCTATTATTATTTATTTATTTTATGAGAAAATCTTCATGCAAAAATAAAAGCTGTAAAGAGAAGTGATCAAGATGAAACAAAAACGTACTCAACTGCAAATGTTTTCAGGAACTAAGGCAATAGTGACAATAAGGATAGCGTACAGCCAGAAATGTTGTCGTTCAGTGGGAGTGTGAAAGAAAAGACATTTAAGCAAGCAACCTTTGAAGTTCTCGATATCAGAGATAGAATATTAATAGGATCAATACAAATAAAATTTGTAACTTAGCTGAGTGATGCTATATTCAGCATCTCGACTTCGAAGTTTCGTAGACGCAACTTTTGTAACCGTTCCGTTCACTCGTCAGGAGATACCAACAATTGACTGCGCATTTTCCGTTTTCGTTATTTTTCTACTATGTTAAAAATAATTTATTCGCCAGTTATTGGTGTTCTTTCTCTTTGCATGTGTGTGTGTGTGTGTGTGTGGAATTTTGTTGCTGTTTCTCCGTTTTGTCATTTTGTTTTCTCCTTTCTCTCTCTCTCTCTCTCTCTCTCTCTCTTATATATATATATATATATATATATATATATCCAGGTAAGATGAGAACGAATAGGGTACAATTCCAACGTTCGTAACATTTAATTTAAAAGAGGCTCAATACAAAGTAAAACAATATTCTTTATTTTAGAATATTACTTAGTTTTATACTGATCCTTTCCTGTTGTCTAATCAGTTTCTTGATGTTAAAATGAAATTCATCAAGGAAGGCGCCGTAGCTATTTTTTAAACCAAAGTACTTTCAACCTTTTCTAAGATCATCTTCAGGGGTAAATTAAAATGATAAACAGCTCCTTATATTGAAACGCTTAATTTGTAAAATAATTCCATAACTACAAACTTTTAAATTTAAAATTCTAAAATAACTGTAAGAGAATGCCCGAAGGTGTTTTAAAAATCACTATGACGTACTGCAGTTACGGTAGCATGTTGTCTTTGTAATTTACGCATAAAAATGATTTTAGAAACGGTCGAAAGTACTTAGATTAAAAAAAACTAAGGCACCTTCCTTGATGAATTTTATCTTAACATTAAGAAACTGATTAGACAACTCGAAAGGATCAATAAGTAGATACAATATGTCTATATTATTCAATGAAACATTTGAATATATATATATATATATATATATATATATATATATATAATTAGAAAAAAAGAGTCCACGTGTGCTCCATATAGTTTACAAAAATAGAGTAAACAAAGTCCAACGAAAGTTTATCGATATGATCAATACGAAAATATTTATTAATATTAACCACGTGTAATCAGTACGAAATACAAAACACAGGCGTGTTCAAAAATTCCGAACTTGGAAACTCAATCATGCTTTATTTTGTCACGTGGTTAATATTAATGAATGTTTTTTACTTGATTACATTGGTACCCTTTCGTTTGACTGACCAACTTATCTACTCTATTTGATATATATATATATATATATATATATATATATATATATATATATATATATATATATATATATATTAGAGTGCAACTTATATTTTATATCATAAAGAAAGAATTTATGTTAATGTGATTAATGGCTAAATCAATTCCCTAACAAGACTTAATGAGACATTAACTTACTATCAATTCCTTGAATAAGATCCTTATATTCGAGTTGTTGTCAGATGGAAGACACATGCCAAGTACTTTCGGACAGTTTCTAATTGTCATCTTCAGGGCGCAATTTTCCTATAGACAGGTAAACACTAAGATGAAATATGTGTAGACCGAAAGATGTTTTTCAAAGTATGCTATTTATTGACAGTTGAATATATGTTTTGAAGTGTACAATACCCTGACGCTAGAGTTCTTGCTCAAATCAATCAAGTGAAAAGTTTTTATAAATCCACGAAGCATATATTCAATATATGACGGTTACGTATAGGATACACGTTTGATTCCTGTCGGTGGATACATATTTTCTTTGAGATTTCTTGGAAATTCAGGCCGGTAAATAGTGTTAATACTGTTTATTATAAACAGAGCATTTATTTAAATATTTTTATCTATAAAAAAATAACGTATAAACAATATATATATATATATAATAACTGGTTACTCGTATTCGAGGATAACCGTTTACTAGGCTAATCCCTATTGCAGACGCTCGCTCAGGCACATTTGTCTTTGTTCAACACCCACAGAGCGCACCTGTGGTTTATACTGCAACTATGCTGAGCGGACCTTAGTTACAGTTTCTGGGAGAGACCGTGTTATCTAGCGTGATCAAAAATCTGAACAAGGCCAGCACGCTCAAAACCTCGGCCACGATGACTTGTCACTTCGTGCTAGCACAACTATAGACGCTCCCTAAAGGTACCGTCTATCCAATTTCACTCACAAGGTTTGTCTCAACCCGTAGTATGGTTTTCAGGCATTTTCCAAAGGTGTCGCACGCTGGGATCGTTCCCTTCAAGACCGATAACATCAGGAAGTCGACCATAGTGTGATTCGAGTCTCATAGTCACAAAGCGAACGTTCTAGCCACTTGGTCATGTGACCATTCACTTGGCTCCAGGTCCTTATATATATATATATATATATATATATATATATATATATATATACAGAGCAAGAATTTATATGAATAATAAATTTACATTTTTTCCTCATCGATAGGACAACTCTGCGATTCATGCACAATGCAATTGTCAGGTGACGATCGAAAATGTTAAATATTATTAAAATTATGTAATTATGATCAATAATATTTAAATTAGATAGATAGATAGATAGATAGATAGATAGATAGATAGATAGATAGATAGATCAAAAGACTAAAATTGTAAGCGATAACCTAATTATCTTGAATTTGTCCACTGGACTTTTATCAACTGATATCTGTGTTTTTTTAATCAAAACCGACATTTTTTATGGAACTCATCTCTCTCTCTCTCTCTCTCTCTCTATCTATCTATCTATCTATCTCTATATCTCTCTCTCATAAAATATCATTTCGTTCTCTCTCTCTCACACACACACAATCTCTCTCTCTCTCTCGACGACGAAGACAATGAATGTGTTTTTCTTAAATGAAATTCAAACGCATCTTCGTAACTTCAAAATTGCCCCACACTGTGTCCGTAAAGATGATACATGCTGCTAGCAACGGTACCATAAGACGTTAATTAAAAACCGAATAAATTACTTTTCAGAAATATTTCACAAGATTTTATTTTTTTATTTTTAGACGGTACGAAAACCTTCTACAGATAAAGAGATACATGCAGGAATGTACTAAATATTACTGCATCTTATGACATATAAACCCTTTTTTTTTCAAAAGAATTGGGTCAAAATTATCCTCCCTATCTTAGTTATCTGGTTTCCTAATGTTTACTCAGACGAGAAAGATTACACAAGTATTTGTACCTGGCCTAACTCAACACTACTGTAACCTTTAAGACATAAATGGAGAGAAATTATATATAATCAAAAAGAGTGTTCAGCCATTTAATAATATTCTTGCTTTAATAAATATCTTCCAACAAACATGTATTATCGAACCAGATGTAGAGCTATGAGGTCTAAAAAAATGGCGGACTTAACTGTGGTTTCCAAGACAGGTATATAGGTTCAAACCCTACCGGAAGATACTTTTTTTTATCAAGACTATCGAATGCACAGACCGTTATATTTCGATTTACGCTGTTTAAAAAAAAAAAAAAAAAACAAGACGTCTACTCAAACACGTTCATCCACCAAAATATAACAATTAATGTAATTAGGACTAAATATACGATTAAAGAAAGATGTATTTTCAACTCCCTCACACAGACACATACATAGGAAGGGTACTTCGACGTGGTGCAATGGTTAACAAAGTTGTCTCTCTAGGTCAGTTCCGACTGAGTAATAAGTTCGATCCACACTGGATGCTCCAAAATTTCGGCCTTGTGCTACATCTAAGATACGCTTGGATAATCCTTTTGGGCCACTTCGACGCGGTGTAATGGTTAACCACCTTGTCTCGCTAGAATAATCACTGAAAAGTTATTTTGATCCTTACCGAGTGTCCCATACTGATTATCAAGCTTGTCTCGCTAGAACAATTACGACTGAGTAGTCAGTTCGATCATCACTGGGTGCCCCTATGCTTTCAGTATTGTGTCACACGTAAGCTATGCTTAAAAAATCGCTATATATATATATATATATATATATATAGAGAGAGAGAGAGAGAGAGACAGACAGACAGACAGACAGACAGACATAGAGAGAGAAAGAGAGAGATTATGTGTGTATATGTGTGTGTGAAAATAAATAGAAAGTAAAAAAAATTATCTCCCAAATAAAATCCGATCTTCAGGGGCAAGATGAAGCGAAAAAATAAATTCTGTTAATAAATCTTGCCTTTGAAAAACGGATTTATTTGTACGAAACGAGTCTGTGTACTTTTTTATTTATTTACTATTAAGCACGTTATTTACAAACTGTGCTC